GATTACTGACATTTAGAAATTTGAAGAAAGGAGCTAAAGGTGTAGGGAAGGTGTGATGCGTAGGGGAAGAACAAAAAGGGAAAAGAAAAAAATGTGAGAGAATGAAAAGATGAAAATAAAGTGTTTGTAGATGGGGAGGGGAGGAGGGGGTGAAGGGAGGGCAGAGGTAAGGGGAAAAAATGAGAATCAAGACTTGTCATGTAGAGGTACAAGATCCCAACAATGAATGTAACTGTACTGTATCCCTAAAATGTACCAATAAACTCAATTAAAGCTGAAAAAAAAAGTTGCATTGCCTCAAGATACTTCTGTTACTTTGAACATATTTATCCCAAAGTTCTTGTTACCTTCTGGAGCAGTTCTTGAAGTCTTCCTTTGCATCTTTAGTTCCATAGTATCATGGCTACCTTAATGCCATGAACGGAGGCAAAATGTTTACCTTTCATGATCATTTTGAATTTGGGGAAGAGCCCCAGTTGCACTGTGCCAGGCCTGATGAATAAGGTGGATGAAGACACACAGTAACGTTTTCACAAGCTGGCTTTTCTTTGGGTGATGCTTGGCAACATCATTCACCGTATTTTAAAAAATCACACCATATAAAGACACTCATGACAGGGGACTTCCAAAGCTGCTGCAGAAAGTGGCAGGAAGGATAAGTATGTTTGCAGAGAAGGTGATAATTTAAGGGAGAATTAATTGCAATGTGCCTTTTGCTGTAATAGAAATTTTAAAATATAAACATTCACTGTATGTGTTGATCACACCGCATGTGTGTATATCTAAATCAGTATGGCACATAGCAGTGTACTTTGGTCTGTCTACCACCAAGGAAAACCAGTCTAGAGGATGAAGTGGACTAGAAGAGCCAGTGTTGATAAAACACTTCCCAACGGGCAAATGGGCTTACCACTTCTCGAGAGAAGTCCCCTCAGAGCAGTGTCAGATTGGGCCTGACAGGACAAGACAGAAGCCCAGGGATCCGAACAAAAGAGCTGGAGTACAGATGAGAAAACTAAGTGGACACAGTCCTACCAAAAGCAGCAGCACAGCAAAGGTGAGAGTGTGCAGCAGACTATGGATGTGTCCAGGCTAACGAATGCATGCTTTACCTAAACCTGCAGGAAAGGTTCCATCCCAGCTCAGGTTTGGGCTTTGGAGCTGCCTGAGACTGTGCTCAAGAGCAAAGTGCTTCCATGCCTGCAGCTTTGTAAGCCAGGAGCTGTGGGAGACACTGTTCTGCAGAGAAATCCCAGATGCTAAAGGGTAGCTTCATCAGCTCCGAGTCAAGGCCTACTTCTCAAGTGACTATTAAACAAGTGGCTAGTTAAGATTCTCTTCTTATCTGTTTCACCTTATCTCCCTATGCATCAGCTCACTCATCTATTTTCCTTTAGTCATTTGGTTCTAGCTCAAGTCAGGACAGATAGTTTCCTGCATCCTACAACAGCTTATTACCTTTGAATTGAAAATATGAAATTCTATCCCGCGTATAGTCATGACTCGGGAACATCTATAATTTCTACTCCAAAATTTACCTTTGATGGAGAACGTTTAGAAAACTAGCTTCGTTAGTCTTGGCCAGTTTTAGGATTAGGCCACATTTATTATTAAGTTCATTTCAAATGAAAAGGTGTGAGGTGTCTTATAAATTTTCTTTTTTTTTCTTATTGAGTTTATTGGTACATTTTAGGTAGCTATTTACAAGAAGAAATTAAAGATCATAGGAGTTAGGTGAATTGTCTGAAGACACACAACCATCATTCTGATAGATGAGGGTAAAAATTGATATCTATCTTTCCTTAATACTCTTCTCTTGCACATTTGTGATTCTGTTTGTCCTTGAGTGCAGATCTAAAGAAATATCCTTTCACTGCATGCTGAATAAAATATGATATAGAACAAGATAAGAATTACTTGTCCTCAAAATAAAAAGTTAAAGTAACTAAGCTGGAAATAACAGTTTTCAGGGAGACAAGTAATGAAGAGATTGAATGAGCAAAGGACTAAATTCACTGGAACCAGCAGAAGGCTCCAAAGTATGGATACTTTTCTTGTCTGTCTCATTCAATACCTGAGCTGCATCTGTGGCTTGGTTGAGACCAACACATCAGTCAGGAAAAGTCTACAACAACTGGTCTGAAAGTGAACCATTGATTGAAGGTTACTACCATCTAGAAAGGGGACCAGTCTTTCTTATATAAAGGAGAAGCCTTCAGTCTCTAAGCAGAGTAGCTGAACTCATAATTGTAGTGGTTCCTGATGCAATAAAGAGCACTCCATACATTATTTCTTTTCCTGACCCATCATAATCAACAAAAATTGTGAGAAGACTCCTGAATGAGAGGTGATGAAACTTTCTTAGGCCCAGAAGAGACTGTTAACTAATATCTTGTGACAGTTCAGAGTAACAAATGCTTTTCCAGGAAATAAGAGATTTAAGTACTACTATAAATGTATAATCTGAATCTAAAAAGCAAGAGAAATAATCAATAACATCAACTCAGAATTCCAGGCTTACCCTAAAGAGTTGCAAAGAAAAGGGAATAACCATAACAATACATTTCAAGTCACCAAATATTTACTGAACATTTAGACAATGCTGGATCCAAAGATAGAGCTCTATCATTTGAAGAGAGGTGAATAAAAATATCTTTTTTTTGTAATTTTAAAAATTAATTTATTGTATAATGAATTATTTTTAATGTATACAATATAAGGACATTCATTGTTGGAAATTTGTACCTTTACATAATCTATCTTGGTTCTTATTTTTCCCCACTCCCCAGTCCTCCCTTCAACCCCTTCCTCCCTCTCTCCCTACAAAGACTCTGTTTCCATTATTTTTAATTTTCTGAATTAATTCCATTCCCTTCTTTACTTTCCTCTACTCCTCCCATTTCTCCTTCCCCTTTGTCCCTTTTCTTCCTATTTCACATTATCTATTATAACTTTTATTCCTTATTCACGATTTCAGTCTCTCACACTAGAGAAACTATTCAGTATTTACACATATGTGTCCTATTTATATCACTTAAGCGTATCACCTCAATGTGCATCCATTTAGCTACAAATGCCTCTTGTTTCTCATTTTTAATGGCTGAGTAGTACTCCATTTTATTAAAAAAACATATTTTCTTTATCCAGTCTCCCATTGATGGGCAATTGGGCTGCTTCCAAGTTTTAGCTATTACAATTATGCTGCTATGAACATGGGTGCACATATATCACCGTGGTATGATTCCTTAATTCTTTAAGGAAGATACCCAGCAGGGGAATAGCTGGGTCAAATGGGACTTCCAATCCTAATTCTTTGAGGTATCTCCATACTGATTTCCACAGTGGTCAGACCAGTCTGCACTCCCACCTGTAGTGGAGCAGGGGTCCCCTTTTTTCATAGCCTCACCAGCATTTGTTAATGGTTGATTTCATGATAGCAGCCATTCTTTCTGGGGTGAGGTAAAAGCATCTCTATTTTTTTTAAAGAGAAGAGAAAATATTATCAAGATGAGACTGTTGCCCTGTTGAAGAATTTCTCCAGGGCCCCCTTCATGTCTCTGTTCCTTAAGCTATAAATGAAGGGGTTCAGCAGTGGAGTGACCACCATAGTGTACATCATAGAAGCAACTATGTCATTGTTGCTGGAGGTGCTAGATGAGGGGAAAAAATAAAGTCCTATAATCGTACCATAATACAGAGATACCACAGAGAGGTGGGATCCACAAGTGGACAAGGCTTTGCACATCCCTTTGGTAGATGGAACTTTCAAAATGGTGGCCCCAATGCAGCCATAAGAGATCAAGATGCATATCAGCGGCAGAGTAATGACTGCCACTCCCACTGTGAAAATGGCCCACTCGTTGATGGAGGTGTTTGAGCATGAAAGTTTGAGCAGGGCAGCGAGGTCACAGAAGAAATGGGTGACGGTGTTGTCAGCACAAAAGGACAGCTGAGCCAGGAGGAGGGTGTGAGACAGAGCGCTTGTGCAGGACAAGATCCAGGAAACAGCTACTAGTAGAATACACCGCTCCTCCGTCATGATGGTGGTGTAGTAGAGCGGGTGACAGATGGCCACATAGCGATCATATGCCATTGCTGTGAGAAGAAAATTGTCCAGATCAGTAAAAAATATGAAAAAATACATCTGTGTTATACACCCTGCATAAGGGATGGATTGATCGTGAGTTTGCATATTCTTCAGCATCTTTGGGACAGTGACAGATGAGAAAGAGACGTCAGTGAAAGCCAAGTGGCTGAGGAAGAAGTACATGGGGGTGTGGAGGCTGGAGTCCAGCCTGATGAGCAGGATGATGAGCAGGTTCCCCAGCACCGTGGTCAGGTACAGGACCAGGAACAGAATGAAGAACACGGCCTGCTGGTCTGGACGGATGGGGAGTCCCAGGAGGAGGAACTCGGACACTCTGCTCTGGTTCTCCTTCCTCATGGTCTTCCTGTCTCTGCTGGGAATGGAAGGGCATTGTAGAAAGTAGAAACAATCAAGTGTGATTCACAGCAGGCAGATTAAAATAAGCTCCTTTTACCAGTGAATGCTGTGTGAGTGTCTGCCCGCATTACAGTACCTTTACCGGAAGTCATTTAAGTTGGTGGTATATAAAATGAGAGAATTTGCTAATAAAGAAGACAGTTTAATAGGGAAAAGAAGCTGGATGTATTGAGCTTTTTCACTATCTAGAATAAAAGCAACCTGGATCAAATTATAATTTGCAGCTACCTCTGCAACCCTCCTAGTGTCTTAGAAGAGGAATATTTTTTTTCAGCTTTAATTGAGTTTATTGGTACATTTTAGGGATACAGTACAGTTACATTCATTGTTGGGATCATGTACCTCTACATGGCAAGTCTTGATTCTCATTTTTTCCCCTTACCTCTGCCCTCCCTTCACCCCCTCCTCCCCTCCCCATCTACAAACACTTTATTTTCATCTTTTCATTCTCTCACATTGTTTTCTTTTCCCTTTTTACTCTTCCTCTACCCATCCCACCTTCCCTACACCTTTAGCTCCTTTCTTAGAAGAGGAATATTAAGTTAAAATCTTTCCAATTTTTATTCTGTCTCTGTACTTTTAAAATTATTAATAAATAAAGGATGGGCTAACATTTCAATAACATACACCTAAAGAAAACTGGATGCTAAATAAATACCCCAAATTTCCCTTATAGATCCACTTTATGAGAAGGGAAACATAGCCCTTGATTACAATATAAAAAGTGAAAATATTATTGGCAGTTATGTTTATTGCCAGTAATCATATTTACCAGGATCTTTTAAACCATTTTCCAATTTCTTTATGATTCAATAAACTCCCATGACAACATGAAAATGCACAATAGAAAAGTGTTTTTATCAAGAGAGGCCATGAGAGGGGCCCTAATATTCCCTTCCTTATTTTTTTAGCTTCCTTGTTTGGCATTCACCATCATGTCCACCTTATCGTGGCAACTTGGACTATAGTACTTGTTAATCATTCCAGTCATATCGCAGGGTTTGTTAATCAAGCCAGACATATCCAGGGTCAACAATATCAAGTATCATAAAAAATCTGTCTGCGTCTATCTGCAGTATCCACCATTTACCCATTGAAATAGTTTATCTTGAAAGAAAAGTAAGAAAAAGTCAATGATCTATGTCTTAACAAAATAAAAATCAACATTAAGTCAAAAGTTAATACTGCCTACTGCAAGTTCCTATATAGAGTAAATTAATGCAAGATGTTATGATTTCATGATAGCAATTTTTTTTTTTTTTTTTTTTTTTTTTTTTGGTAGCAGGGATTGAACTCGGGTCCTTGCGTTTGCAAGGCAGATCACCGAACCGCTCAGCTAAATCTCCAGCCCATGATAGCAATTCTTAATTGGAAAAAAATTTATCAAATTTTACACAGGGTAATGGTAGGCTTAAAATGTTTGCTTATAGGTAAATTAATATGAGGAAATAAAAAATAATGGAAAAAAAGTCTTTGTAGATAGGGAGGGAGGGAGGAGTTGGAGGGAGGGAAGGGGAAGGGGGAAAACTAAGAACAGAGGTTAATTATGTAAAGGTACAAATTTCCAACAATGAATGTCATTATATTGTATACCCAACATTTACCAATAAAATTAATTAAATTTTTTTGCTTATAGGTAAATGGATGCAATTTGAGAACATAATGTTAAGTGAAATAAGTCAGATACAAAAGCTCAAATATGGTTTCTCTTACTGAGAAGTAAAGTAAATATAAATATACAAATAAAGAGAAAAATAGAAGAGATGTAAAGAGTAGAGAGAAGTTCAAATACTTCCCCAAATTACATATTTTGCTCTTTCAAATATATTTAAATGTATATGCTTGTCTTAGATCATGGAAAAGAAAGTTTTGTGTTATTATCTGTTTCTTTTTTTAATTGAGTTTACTGGTACATTTCAGGTATACAGTACAGTTACATTCATCATTGGGATCATGTACCTTTACACGACAGGTCTCGGTTCTCATTTTTTCCCCTTGTTCCTGTTCTCCCTTCACCCCCTCCTCTCCTCCCCATTTACAAACACTTTATTTCCATTTTTTCATTTTCGCATACTTTTTTCTTTTCCCTTATTCCCTTTCCCCTACGCTTCGCACTTTCCCTGCACCTTTAGCCCTTTTCTTCCTATTTCACATTGTCAAGTATCTCATTAGGACCTTATGTACCATTAAGTTTTTCACACCAGAGAAACTATTCAGTAATGTGTTTCTTTTTTTGTAAGAATCTTTTTGGTTTATGTCTTGTACATTGAGTAACTGCTTTGAAGATAATTATACACAATATATTAACTATAGTTATTCTCTTATTATTTTATTACAAATTTTTTCATAAAATAAAAAAATGAAAGAAATTTGCCTTCTTTAATCTCGGTAATTTGAGTATGCTCCCATCTCATATCTAAATTGAGTAAGCTCCCATCTCTCTTCTAAACTTACTGAAAAGCAGCAAACATAAGAGACATGAGCATTCTCAATTTAAGAATGCCTGGCTCACACTCCCAATCTGTCCCTACTCATTCAAACATTTTGGGTCTCTGTGCTGTGATCTTAAGGGTAGAGCTTTGTGTGTAAGAGAAGTGTGCTATTTAATAGCACTGCAATTAGAATTATATCAAATCCTGGTAACATCACTTTGTATTTGTGAGTTCTGGGCAAGCTACCTAGTCTGAGTTTTTTTTTCATCTCTTAACTGGTGATAAGATTATGAGAATATTCTTGAGAATATTCCAAGTATTAATAATATTTAAAATATTAAATATTAAATATTAAAATATTTAAATCAACGAGATCATTTGCACCAATCAATGTTGATTTCTTTCCCTCTACTTCACGAGACCCTTTTAGTTCACCCTCTTGACAGCCTATTCTTTTCAATAGGCAGATACTGAACAGAATTCAGGTGCTGCAAAGCTACTTTGTCACCACATCATGACCTGGTGCAGGCAAAGGCCGTAGACATCAAGAATGGTGTTACGGACATGAGCAGAATCCAACCACATCCTGCCTGGTAGAGAACCCTAGCTACTCAAGTAGCCTGGAGTTCAGGACTTCTCCCTTCTTTCTCCTTTTTCTGGTTTCCCTCATGCTGCAATAATACGATTCCCTCTGGAAGTTGTAAATTTAGTTGCTAACTAAGTTGTTGATTAGTTTGTGGAATTTGGGATTTTAACAAAATTCCCTCTATGCAATTCAGCCACATCTCTTTTTTTTTTTAATCGCATAAGCTCTATGCAAAGACCATATGCTCACTCCACAGCCTCCAGCCTTCTCCTAAATAATTCCTCAACCACTTCTTGATAGTAACTGATATTTTCTTGACAGTGCGACGATGTGCTGTAGAAGACAAAGCACACATTTTGGAGTCAGACAAAAGGGTTCAAATTACCTTTCTCCCATTTTTCAGCTGTATGTCTTTGGCAGAAATAATGCACCACTTGTAGCCTCAGAGTTTCCTCTGTAAGATTGGGATAATAGTCCCTGAATTTTCATGTCTGAATTTAAGTGAGATAATACATATAAAATAACCAGCTCATAGGATGAATCCTATATGAGGTAACATAGTTTCCATTAAACATAAAGTACAAAAGTCTCTAGGGGAAGAAACATAGGGTCTTATCTTCAAAGAATCTGAGGAAAAAATAATTGTGTTGAGATAATCAAAATCCTCCCTTCTAGTGATTTTGAAGTACACAACATATTGTGGTAGTAGACCTTTCCTAGGAGTAAGTTTCCGTGCCTTCAATGAATGTTTACAGCTACACTTGGGACTGATAGGAAACCTTCAAGTAGATTCTAAGAAGAAGTTGAAATATGCATGCTACTGTAAGTCAGAAAATAATCAAAACTTTCTAGTTACAATTGTCCTGCAAACGTCAGTTCCAGGTGGAGGTAGCAGTGCTGTTTAAAAGAGAGGGAATGATCAGTGACTCTGGAGAGAAAAATTAGAGAGGACTGGTCGACTTCCATATAGTAAGCGAGCACACATTCTGATTTCTAAAACACAAATGATGAGATAGGATGCCCAAGCTAGGTTTGGAGACTTTCCTGCTAATTTACATAGCGATCTGGCTCTGTTCCTCATCTCCTTAAGGCTGGGAATGAAAGGCATGCACATAACTGGCCAGTAGTAATTGCTATATTCCTGTCTTCAGAAACTGATTTTTGTAAGAGCATAATTGTACACACACACACACACACACACACACACACACACACCTGCTACTGGAGAAAGATACTTTGTCCTGCTCTGAACCTTGTTCTCAGGTTATCCAGTTCTCAGGAATATGTACTTGTTTCTCAGCTTCTTTCTAGGAGAACCCATGACTAGATTTCTCTGCGGTCTTAAACCAATTACCGAGGAAACTCATTCATGAGTTTGAAGGAGGAACTTCATGAGCTGGGCTGATTCTTCTCAGTTTACCAGCTTCAGAAGTGGAGATGTAAAACTCCACTCCATTCACCAGGGAGAGAACCCAGTGGAACAGGACACCAGACTCTCAATTAAAGACATGCATTGAATGTGTGTTAATTTCTCAGTTTTCCTCTGGCTCCCCCCAGGATGGATGCCCTAGGGTAGGGGTCCCTAAACTTTACTCTTCGGCAGAATCCCCTGGTGATCTTGTTTGGAAGCAGATCCTAGCTCCACCTCCAGAGCTGCTCATCCATGAGATCTGGGGCCAAGCAATTCTCAGATGAGTTTTTCTAAGGGCAGACTTTGAGGAAACAGTGACGTTAGGAACAGTGTCAGGATGCATTCAATGAGAATGTGAGCTCAAAAGAAGATGGGCAAAGATGTCCCCTGCCAGATTAAGTTTTCCCCTGGTAGGGGCATAGTTTGAGATGTACAGAAAGGCTTTTATCCCAAATGGAAATGTATTTTTGGGTTGCTCTCATAAAATTAATTCCTCTTCATGATGGGAATCCAGATAATATTGAAATGAAAACAACAAAGAAAGTCAAAATATCTCACTTTTCCATTATTTTAAAAATATTTTATTAATACAGATATGCATTTAGATAAATAGGATTTATTTTGTAGTAATTTATAACTTTCCTTTTCTATAACAACTTTGCTGATACTTACATTTTTATATCTATGCACTTCACCAGACTTAAAGTTAAAATATTTGTTTTAGTTAACACCTTATTTTTTAACATTAATTTTATTGCAGTATAATGACATTCATTGTTGGAAATTTGTACCTCTACATCATCAATCTTCATTCTTATTTTTCCCCATTTCCCTGCCCTTCCTTCGACCTCTCCCTCCCTCCCTATCTACAAAGACTTTGTTTCCATTATTTTCATTTTCTATTATTTTTTCTTTTCCTTTCTTAACATTGTCCTACCCCTCCCACTTCCCCTACACCCTTAGACCTTTTTTTCTGTTACACAATATCAATTATACATTTTGATTCTTATTTACACTTTTAGTTTATCACACCAGAGAAACTATTTGGTATTTACATGTGTGTCCTATTAATTTCATTTAAGAGTAGGGACTCAATGTGCATCCACCTAGCTATAAATGTTTCTAGTTTCTAATTATTTATAGCTGAGTAGTATTCAATTTTATTTTTTAAAAAACCCATATATTCTTTATCTAGTCTCCAGTTGATGGGCAATTGGGCTCTTTCCAAGTTTTACTATTACAAACTGTGCCGCTATAAACATGGGTGAACATATATCACTATGACTTTATTCTTTTAATTCTTTTGGGAAGATCCCCAGAAGGGGAATATCTGGATCAAATGGAACTTCTAATACTAGTTGTTAAAGGTATCTCCATATTGATTTCCACAGTGGTTGCACCAGCCTGCACTCCCACCAACAATGAAGAAGGGTTGCTTTCTCCCCACAATCCTGCCAACATTGTTATTGGTTTATTTCTTGATAGCAGCCATTTTTCTGGGGTGAGATGGAATTTCAGTGGTATTTTCATCAAAAAGCATCAATTTTTCTTGGAAACAGCCCATTTGCCCATCATTTGGAAACTGGATAAAGAAGATGTGGTTTTTCTATAAA